TGAGGCTAACTTTTATTTTATATTTATTTTTAAGCGATCTCGAGGAAAGCGGGAGTACGATTCCTCTTTTGTTTTCATTAGCTTTTGTTTCAAAGGTGGATTTAGATGCAATATTTGGTATCGGCACAGTAGACTCAATTTCGTGAAAACGCGATTTTAACATGATATTATCTAGTGAGAAAAGAGACTTAAGATCTTTGAGAACATTATCGTCAAAACAAAAACGAGCTGATGTTTATTTAATTTAGAAGTTTTGGCAGAATGTTCGATAGAATTAATATCATTTTTTATGTGACAAGAATAAATTTTTTCGGGCGTACGAATGGGCTGTAGGGAAGGCGGATTCAAAGAGATATGGGATATTTCTTGAAGTTCTATTGTAGGAATTAGTAGCTCCACTTTTCGCTCCGTTGTATTAGTCACACGCAGAAACGCTTTCCATTGTCACAAGTGACAAGAGAATCGCCTGCATATATGCTGTCGGCTGAATATAGGCGCGGTAAATATCCGGTTTTTACTTTAGGATTAGACACACGAACCGTAAATCCGACGTTCGAACGACTCGGTACAACGATACTTTCGTGTAATTTAAAAGGAAAAATTCTATTACGCCAATAGATACAATTTGAACGGAAATCGATGCGCGCCTTGTGTGTATAGAAAAAGGAAGAGCCGAGGATACCTTGCTGAATAATGGGAAAATCGTCTGGGACGGCGTGGAAAAGAACGGGCGTATTAAAAAATATAATTTCAACAGCTCCAAGAGTATTAACGACATTGGTAGTTATTCCAGTGAGTTTCAGAGTATGCAGCGCGTTGATAACCGTATCAGAACGAAAGATACCGATTTTTATAGGATTAGGTTGGGTGCCGGTATCGACCATAAATGAAGTGGGCCCAACAAGGAAACGAGAACAAAGTTCTACTGTGGGGACGTCCCCGGTGGAGAGGTGGAGGACGTGGATGGTAGAGGATCGGCACTCAAGGAGAGAAGGGGGCGCGGAACAGCTAGACCTCGGCTCCTGCCCACGGCCGAGGCCCCAGGAGTGTTTCCCTGTAGACTATTTGCACTTGAATCTAGTTTATTATTGTTATTAAATTGCCGTTTTCGACATTCTGAAATTACATGCCCCATCCTCTTGCAATAATTGCAAATTTTTGTAGGAAAAATTGCCGAAACATGTGGGTTAGGAGCTTGAGAAAGGGGTGCTAACGGTTGAGGTGAATTGCGACAGGAACTGGAGAATGGTGACAGGTCTAGAGACGGGGGTTGAGGATTTTGAGGAGGTATACGATTTAAAGACCGCGATCGAGATCCCCCAGAACGCGTTTGATCACGTTCCAAACGTTTGCTTATAAGAATAGCTTTATTGTAAGCTTCTGTTAGATCTCGGTATCCCTCAAGGCGAATTTCGGCATGGTATTCTGGCGGTAGCCCTTCGAAAAATGAAACTAAAGCATCGGAATCTATTAATGATATCTCTGTACGGGATAGTTCTCGCCCGAATATATTTTGGTCTCCCTCGATTATAGCGGTTCTCAAATCCTTTACGCGTCCAATGTAATCTAAAATATGCTCATTAGGCCTTTTATAATTATTTCCGACGATTTTACTAGCAACCATCCTAGCACGCGCTCCCTGCAGAGGATCTGAACACTCCTTCGACTTCTAGAATACGAAGTAATCTCGATGCCGACGGTAAATCGACCGATCCTTCTAATACCGCCGGCCTGAATCCTCGCTCTTCCGCGGACGCTACTGCCGACATTCGCGAATTGTCTAGGAGAACGGCCTCTCTCGAACTACTCATTATAATATTATAATATTATAATATATAATAACCTCACTACATCTTTACGCGCGCTGTAGAAAACGACGTGTCAAATTAATATAGAACAGAAGTGCCGAAAAGAAAGAAAGCAGAAAAGAGTAACAATTCATACGTTGAGTCTGGCACATAAAATGTGTCATCCAAAATCGATATATCAAATTAACACACGCCGATGTCGGAAATTTAACACAAGGTTTTCCATATACAAAGGAATAGTAAAAGGCATTAAAGCTAACGCATTAACTTAAAATAAAATGCTAGTCACAATTACAGGTCGCCGTTACGAATGTCAACATAATATAATCCTAGTCCATATCGAACGAGGGAGGGGAGAACCGGAAGTTTAGATTGCAAGATGTACCGCTCGATAAGGATAAAAAAGAAATAAGAAAAAGGGGGGGAAATAGGAGCTGAGACGTAACAATATATATACTACATGGGCTGAAAAGTCTTTAACCTGACATATAGATGGCGCCACAAACTAAAAATCCTTATATTTCCTATAGAGTACCAACCTTAACTTAGATGCTGTAAAAATTTCATGATATTTCGTTGACTCGTGTACAAGTTATAGCTTTCGAAGTGACGTTACCTCTGAATTTATCTTTACTATGGAAAAAAGTGAATTTCGTGTTTTGATTAAACATTGCTTCCTGATGCGAAAAAACACTGTTGAAGCAAAGGCATGGCTTGATAAATGTTACGGCACATCTGCCCCACCGAATTCAACCATCAAATATTGGTTTGCTGAATTTCGTCGTAACTGTACGAGCACAAATGATGCACCACGTTCAGGAAGGCCAAATGAGGCAGTTACTCCAGAAAACATCCAGAAAATCAGTGAAATCGTGTTGAATGACCGCAAAATGAAATTGAGTGACCTAGCTAACATCATAGGCATCTCAAAGGAACGCGTTGGTCATATCATTCATGAATATTTACACATGAAAAAGCTTTGCGCGCGTTGGGTGCCGCGTTTTTTGACAATTGAGCCAAAAGCGCAACGTGTTCGACTTTCAAAGCAAAATCTGGCCCTGTTTAACCGCAATAAGAAGGAGTTTTTGCGTCGATTTGTCACAATGGATAAAACATGGATCCATCACTACACACCGGAGTCCAATCGGCAGTCAGCGGAGTGGTTATTGCCTGGTGAAAGCCGTCTGAAGCGCCTGAAGACACAACAATCAGCCGGCAAGGTTTTGGCCAGTATTTTTTGGGATGCGCATAACATAATATTCATTGATTATCTTGAACATGGTAAAACTATCAATAAAGAATATTACTGTACATTACTGGATCGATTGGACGACGAGGTCAAACGGCCACATTTGGCAAAGAAAAAAATTTTGTTTCACCAAGACAATGCTCCAGCTCACTCGGCTCGCGATATGACCGATAAATTAAAGAAATTGCGCTATGAATTGGTCCCGCATCCCCCGTATTCTCCAGACCTGGCCCCCAGCGACTATTTCCTTTTTCCCCGACTGAAGCAGTGGCTCGCTGGTAAAAGATTTTATTCGAATGAGGAGATCAAGTTGGAAACAAATGCCTATTTTGAGGGACTTGACACCGAGCACTATAATACCGGCATCGAAATGTTACCGTTACACTAAGTGCATTTCTCTAAATGGAGATTATGTCGAGGAATAAAAGACTTTTTTCATTAAAAAATCGTTTTTTCATTGTTGAGCCAAAGACTTTTCAGCCTATGTATAGGGTGTTGACCATGAAAGAAGGAGGGCGTACTAGGTGGCGACGGGACGCCGTGCTTTCGGGACCTGCATCTCATTTTTCGTTCCGAAGAGAGAAAAGTATCGAGAGCGCGGTAGTCGCTAGACCGGGAATCGAACCCGGGTTTTTCGCTTGCCGGACGACTGCTCTAGACCACTGAGCTATCTGACGCTCCACGTTCACGACACTCTCCCCTCCCCAGATAACGTTGAGAGATGTCGTTCGGAAGCGACATCTCTAGTGCTATCCCGAGCGCATGGCGACTACAGAGAGAGGCATTGTTACTTTGTACCTGGTGGTACAAGCTGACAGTCTCTCAAAGTCAAAGGTTGCTATCCTTTTAAGACCTGCTGTCCATGTATGCCGGCCTCCACCGTTGCCCCTCCTTATCCGGTGCAAATAATAGAAATAAGCCCCGGGGTCGACGCCATATTTTGGCTGCCCCCGGGCGCTTGCGTTTTTTTTTTTTTTTTTTGCAACACCCCGAAGGGTGTTTGAAAGCTTAACATGCAGACGAAAGTTGGAGATAGATTGGGTGTAGCCGAGAAGAAAAGTCATGTACCATAATGTCAAATTGGAAATAGTTACCGAGTTATTAATTAAAACATGTAAGCCAACGAGCGCGTAGAGAGCGGAGGATGGCCGAAGTAAGCACGTAGACATTTGATACAGGCGGAGTCAGCGAGTTGCGGTAGGCAAGCGCGCGCGGCGAGGAGCAATGTAAGCAACAAGAGGCGAGCGCGCGCGACGAGGAGCGAGCGAGCGCGAACGACGAGGAGCGAGCGAGCTATTTCCTAATCGCTCGCTCGCTCCTCTTCGCGCTTGCTCTCCTCTTGTCGCTTGCGCTCGCTCACTCCTCGTCTTTCGCGCTCGCTCGCTCCTCGTCGTTCCCCGTCGCTCGCTCCTCGTCGTTCGCGCTCGCTCGCTCCTCGTCGTTCGCGCTCGCTCGCTCCTCGTCGTTCGCGCTCGCTCGCTCCTCGTCGTTCGCGCTCGCTCGCTCCTCGTCGTTCGCGCTCGCTCGCTCCTCGTCGCACGCGGTCGTCTCTTGTCGCTTACGTTGCCCCTCGCCGTGCGCGCTTGCCTACTGCAACTCGCTGACTCCGCCTGTATCAAATGTCTACGTGCTTACTTCGGCCGTCCTCCGCTCTCTACGCGCTCGTTGGCTCACATGTTTTAATTAATAACTCGGTAACTGTTGCCAATTTGACATCATGGTACATGACTTTTCTTCTCGGCTACACCCAATCTATCTCCAACTTTTGTTTGCATGTTAGGCTTTCAAATACCCTATATATACAGGGTGTCCGGAATGTGATCATTAATATTTTGTGTACTGGTAGAACTCCTGGTTAAAGCAATTAAAAAAGTCCTGTGCCATTTTACAATTTTTTGAATATTTATTCCGTAATTAATTAAAATGTGTAAACGAATGAGCGCATGAGAAAGCGACAGGACGGGTTCTGTGTATAAGAAGATGGCTTACCTCGCGCAGCGAGAGGTAACCGTAAGCGACAAGAGGTAAAATCACTAGATATATAAAGTACCGCAATTCATGAAACCCATGCTTTAGCAGATTGGACTGAAAATGGCGTCGAAAAGTGTATATAGTGTACACTTTATGTCATAGATATACACTTAGTATAAGTCGCGTAATGTATCGTGACAGTTATTATCGTATGCGACTGAAAGGAAAAAGACATGTGTAAAACGTAAATAATCAACGAACGAAATGTCAGCGTGTTGTATCGATAATTGTAACAACCGTAGTGAAAAGGGATTTCGACTTTTCGGTGTTCCATCAGCACAGAAAAGGCGAGACGAATGGATGGTACTGATTGGGAAAAATACATTACCGAAATGGGCTGCAGTTTGTGAGGTATAATCAAGGAAGTATAATTGCATGTAAGGTAATTTTACGTAAGTAATGTAAGGTATATTTTACAGTAATATTTATCATATATGTGCGTATTTTGCAGGTGCACTTTGATGAAAATCAATTTGAGCAACATAGACAAGATGGAAGAAAATTGCTTCGTCCTTTTGCTACACCGAATCTATTGCTGAAACGCATAGTTGCTACAAACACAATACATACATCCAAACATGAAATATTAGATTGGTACAGATGAAATGGCCATTTTTTAATTCTTAATTTAAATTTTTATTCGATTCACTTTATATACATCTCGTCAATCGAAATAGTCTCCCTCCACCTCAATATACTTCCCCCAACGTGATACAAGCGCATCAATGCCTTGTACGTAGAAATTAGAAGAGCGAGATGCAAGAAATTCGTTGAACGCATTTTTCACGTCGCTTTCTGTTTGGAATATCTTTTCACTTAAAAGTTATCCAGATGTTTAAATAAATGGTAATCAGTTGGAGAAAGGTCAGGAGAATAAGGAGGGTGAGGGAGAACTTCGCATTTGTATTCTGTTAATGTTTCTACAGTTTTTTTTTGCGGTCTAGCATTATTATGGAGCAATAACATACCGCGTCTATTTAATAACGCCGGCTGTTCAATACGCAGTTTTCCCAGCACAATGTCAATTTCTTGTCAATATCTGTCAGCATTTATAGTTTCACCTTTTTTCAAAAACGAAAAATGCATAATACCCTTGGCAAACCACCATACAGATACCATAACTGTACGTGGATGAAGACTCGGTTTCGGCATGTGTTTCGGAGTTTGATCAGCATCTAAGCACTGGGCAAAACGTCGACGATTGTCATAAAGAACCTACTTTTCATCACACGTTACTATTCGATTCAATATTCCTTCATTATTGTGTCGGGAAAGCAAAGATGAGCTGATTTCCATACAGTGAAGCTTGTCTCTCTCACAAGTAACACTACCTAACTGATACTCACCGATTTGAATGAAACCTAACATACTTATTAAACACCGAAAAATATTAAATACGTATTTTTTTGTTTCGGCTAAATACGCTTTTTAGGAGTAGAAAGCACCACTCAACTCCTGGAGGTGAAAACAGTTATGGCTCATTATTTCTGAAACGATACATTTTCTGAAAAAAGTGCTTAGGACCAAAGTTGTAGAGTTCAAAGTGATGCACTTGATGGCGACCTTGAAATCGACCTTTGTATCGTCTTGCACAACTTCCGAAACATCTTCTGAATTATCTTCAACTAAAACAGCATCAGGAATCACAGTAGCATCAATACAGTTCAAAGTATCATAAGTCTTTTTAAATATATCAAAATTGATAGCGTCTTTTATCAAATCTGCAAGTTGAGAAGCGATTGATCTTTCTTCATCTATTATTCTAGATTCTATATTGTACACTGGGTCCTCGAAAGTGAGGCATAATAACTTTAAAATATTTTTGGGTTTAATGACTGCGACGTAATTTCTTTTCGCCGTCGTCAAATTGCCGTCGGCCCACGCGCCCCGGCCGTGCGTACTCTCACCAAGTTGTTGGACGCCAGATGCAGCGGGCTGCACCGATCACCAACACCAACGAAAAACCACCAAATGGCCGAGACACGCGAATCCGACGGGACCGGTAGCTCCTCGGAAATTAAAGTCGGTAGACGGGAGGATTCGATCGGGAAGTTATCAGGAAACAAAGAGTAGCACTGAGCGTTCAGATTATCTCCCTTTTATTGTGTCACGGGAATCGGTACGGTCCGACCCCTCGATACGATACACCTCGCTGCGTTCTCTCGCGAGTTCGAGACTTGCTCTGCGCTCACAAATAGTAGCCCAGACACGGTACGCACGGGACACCGAAAGAGAAAAACAGGTGGACGGTCTTACACAGTCGGGAACCTCCCGGCGGTGTGGTCCTTCGTCCTCCTTCCTCCGCTCGCTCTGGTGCAACACAGCCACCGACGGTATCTCCTTGGGCGAGTGGAACACCAAAACTTTTTCTCTCGCTAACGGCAAAAATGAATTTCCTACACAGCGATATTCGGTAGCTAATTATAGGCGATCCGCAATAATCGGAAGCAGACTGGCGATATCAGAGAGTGCGAAAGCGGTAATCCTCTCTTTTATTTTCACAAAACAGCTTTCCTCCTTTCTTCCTTGTCTCTCCTTTGTTTTGTCTAGAGGCTCTTCTCTCCCCGTTCCTCGTTTTCTCTCCCAATACGGGAATCCTTCCGCGGATCTTTGTTTTCGATCCGCGGGACAGATGCTCGGTCTCACTCTCGCGCGCTTTCTCTCTCTCTCTCTCTCTCTCTCGCGCGCGCTTCCGCTGTCTTCGCGTGCGCCTAGGCCAGGTTTTTCTCGCACTCGGTCACGCGTCGAGCATGGGAGCGACGGTATTTTCGTTCGATATTCCTACTGGCCTGTGGACAACGAAAACGGCAACGAAAATTTTTTGAGACGATACGGGAGTCGATAATAAAAAAAGATAATGGGAGCATTCACCTGAGGTGGCTGTCCTGGCGATGGGTGATGTTCTCTTCTTCCTCCTGGCTCCTCCGGTCTTGATGGTCGGCGTAGGAGGTCCAGGAACACAAAGTCCCGCTCGGGGACGCGGGACCGTCACACCTGCGCGCTCTTACCACTAATAATAACTAATCACGATTTCGGGGGAGAGTCCTTTGTATTCGCGCAACTCTTAGGACCTCTTCCCCCCCCCCTCGCCTCGCGGTATAGGGATCGCCATCTTGTGACGGGTGCCTCCGGGCTGCCACGTCACATGACATGAAATTTTACAGATTAACAATGCTTTAATAATATTATAACAGAGATTCAATGTAAATTCATAGAAAGCAGAGTTTATGATTGTATAAGCCTAAATGAAATTAACACAAAAAATAGTCGTAGAATCAAATGATGGAAAAGTACTTGCAGTAAATACTTTCCGAAAGAATTTTGAAAACATTCACAAGAAACAGCAGTCGTAAGAGCAATTAACGTAAAACTATAAACAATGAACATTCGCCTAAGTACAGATGTGGAAATGATGGTTGATGGTATATTCGAACGAAATTCACGAGCAAGATAGCTCATAGCAAATAAGTGATCAAGAAGTAATTTTGAAAAATGCTTGCTCAACGACAGTCGGGAAAATAATAATTGATCATGTCCGAATGAAATCCTAATACAAAATAAAGAGTAAAAGGTATTGTGGATAACTCCAGAGTAGCAATAAAAATTTTAAAAAATTTGAAAATTTCTAATATAGCATGAAGGTAATGTTTAACTTACAATTAGAGTGACATTTTATGTTTTCTTATCTTTACTTCTGAACTTACTTACAAAACTTTTTTCTCCTTATTTTTTTCTATAAATTTGTGCCTATTTTCCCATTACGTTAGATTTTTTTCTTTTTTTAGGAAAATAATGCAACAAATCAATTCTGAAGACAGATTTAGTCAACGCATAAAATTACTGATTATATATACAGGATGTGGTCGAAGTCCGGCAACGGCTAATTATTTCCAAATTTAATTGACCTTGAAAATCGACCTCAAGGTCGACTTCTAAGTCGCCATCAAGTGCATCACTTTGAACTCTACAACTTTGATCCTAAGCACTTTTTTCAGAAAATGTATCGTTTCAGAAATAATTAGCTATAACTGTTCCCACCTCCAGGAGTTGAGGGATGTTTTCTACCCCTAAAAAGCATATTTAGCCGAAACAAAAAAACACGTATTTAATATTTTTCGGTGTTTAATAAGTATGTTAAGTTTCATTCAAATCGGTGAATATCAGTTGGGTAGTGTTACTTGTCAGTCAGTTTATGTGGTACCCATTTGTCAAGCTTTTTCACTTTCCCCATGGCCTTTAGGTGTCGGGAAACAGTGGAATAGTGAACGTTGATGCTGTGTGCAATATCTCGAACTGATAAACGCGAGTCTGCTTCAACCATGTCTTTCAAAACACTATCATCAATCACTGATGGTGCATGGTCGCGAGGCAAATTGTCGAAATTTGTATCACCAGACCGAAACTTTTCAAACCAACGTCTAATGGTTCGACCACTTACAGAACCTTCCCCAAAAGCAGTGTTTATGTTTCGCGTTGCCTCGACCGCACTATGACCAAGTTTGTATTCGTACAAGAATATTATCCGCATTTCCTTACTTTCCATGTCGAAGAGACAGCGATTTTCAACGATATAAACAATGTGATAAAAGTAAAGTTATGCGTGCGAATTTACGTGTGGGGCATATACTTTTCAAATATCACGCATGCAACGACAGCTGCATGAAAAGAGCTGAACTACTCGGCCGGGAAATTTAAATTTTGAAAAACGGCCATTTCATCTGCAACAACCTAATTTTTAGTCATGTCGAAGATTTAGATAGAATGTAGTAAGTATGACAGAATACAAAAACACATTGAAGTAAGAATGTAAATGATCTGAATTGCGTTTTTGTATAAACACAAATGTTAGGGCTTGAGCACAATAGACATTAGGAATAAATATTAATAATAAAGAGTCTAAGTTCCTCTTCAATCTAGCATCATCATTCTATCCTTGTTGTTGGATCACTGAATATTGCTTGTATCACTGAATATTTAAATATTAATAGGTTTGAAAATTTTAATAAGTTTGAACGATCGCGAGCATCAAATACAACTTAACCTTCTTCCTAATATTTGTATTATATCTTCCTTTAATATTTATTTCTATTTCTAATATGTTGTCTATTGTGCTCAGACCTTTATTTTAATATACATTACTTAAATTGAAACATATTTATACATGTGCAGACGAACATACAACACATAATGCAATTGAAAATACTTTCCATATCGATGTCGAGTGTAACAATAAGAATAGTGAACTGGATGCAAGAACACTCATTGAAGCAGAAGTAGTACAACCTACCAAAACAACCAATTCTGGAGACATTGCAGTGAAGCGTAATATATATGATGAAACAACTGTTAAAAAATTGAAGCAATCATTAAAATAGATGCAACAAAAAAATCGTCTATTGAAAAAACGGTTGCAAAAAAGGAATGCACATTTTCAGACATTGTTTAACAAAGACCAAACGGATTTTCTCGCACGTAATACACAAAGGGGACACACATGGTCTGCAAATACTATAAATAAAGCATTGAGACTATATGTGGCCTGCGGTTAGGATATGAAGAATTGCGCAGGCAGAATCTACCATATCCAAGTATCCGCACTTTACAGCATCGTATACAGGGCTTACACTTTAAGCCAGGTACTTATGAAGAGATAATGAACCTTATAAAAATAAAGGTAGTGTAAATAATAATTGCTGTCATAAACATAAACATTTGTTTATAATTTTGTAATATAATACTCACAAGGAGATAACGCCAATTAGAAAATCGTTTTTCGAACGAGTGATAGTGCGTTCGATAGCTTATATGTAGGTATGAATTATGTTGTTCACATACGCATTTTTTATTATAAATATTTGGAGGACAGCATAGTTGGTTAACATTTAAAAACATTTCTCTTTCGTCAGCTAATTTGGACGCATACCATGCATATTGAAGCATACATTTAAATCCAAGATTTAAATCCAAGATTTAAATGTATTCCATCCAAGAGTTCCAAGAGTTCCATCCAAGAAATCCAAGAGTTAAATGTTAACATGCTTTCCTTCAAATATTTATAATAAAAAATGCGTATGTGAACAACATAATTCATTCATAAAATGTTCGTGGTGCGACAAAGTTTTATGTTTCCAATGTTTCTACATGAATTTTCATCCACTATACGCGAAGCGATGGAAACATTTTATAATATGTAGACATTTATAAAGTTTGTATTTGATTTTGACATGTATAAAATTTATACGTTGCTTGAAAAATATATAATCAGTTCATACGATTTATATATTTTTTATTTCATATTGCGTTCAAATATCCCGAAATGTCCTTATTTTTTTATATAAAAACGAAATAAATTAAAAAATAAATAAATAATTATTAATAACATATTACTATATGTCGAAAATTAAAAAAAAAGAAAAAAAAACCATGAAGTGAAGCAGTCGTCGGTGGGATCCGAACGCTCGCCGCTGTTGCAAAAATCTATGTGTGGGAGCCTTAGCTTAAGACTCCATGCATGCAGTGAGCTGCGGCAAATGCTGCGGTGACCAATCAGGAGGGAGGCGCAAGTCCGGTTGCGACAAGCTCCGGCATGCGTCTGTCTCCTGATTGGTCACCGCAGCCATTTGCCGGAGCTCACCGCATGCATGGAGTCTTAGCTTTAGTCTCCTCAGCTACGCCGCTTACTCGAAAGAGGTCGTAAAGTTTTGCTTATGTGGGACGTAGTTGCGTGACCCTAACTTTATCTTTTAAATTCTCTTAAACAAAGGCGCATTGACACGAACGGCTCTAGGGTTTTCATCATCTACATACAAGCTATCGAACGCACTATGACTCGTTCGAAAAACGATTTTCCAATTGGCATCATCTGCTTGTCAGTAATATATAATTATAGATACAATCTTTTCGACCAGAAGAAAAACACGCAGTATTATTAATAGACGAAATGTCTATAAAACCGGGTTTACAGTATGATAGTTGTACGGCTTCAATTATTGGACGACCAACAATGAAATTATCAGGTGGATTAGATTGTAGCAATAAACAAGCTACTCATAACCATAGTGTTTATGCTGTGTGGTGTTTCCACGAAATGGAAGCAAACTGTTGGTTACGAATTCACAGCCAATTCATTTTGTGCTAATGAAATAGTGCAGAAGATCACAACAATAATTCAAAAGGCACACGATATTGGACTGACAATCAAGGTAATAATATCCGACATGGGCGCACTAAACAGAATTTGGTGGAAAATATTGAATATTACGGCTAGCAAATTTAGCAAAATCAATAATTCTATTCAACACCCATGCGACGACCAAGATAGATTGTTTGTTATGGCAGATACTGTTCACGTATATAAAAATGTTGCATGCTCACTAACATCGGGAAAAACATTTTATGTGGATGAAACAATAATGAAAAGATATAACTTGTCACATAAAGCAATTTCCATTGTGCCTATTCGTGAAGTATTTCATTTAGACCGAAACGAAACATTGAAATTGTGTCTACGTCTCACAGAACATTGTATAAATCCATCGCATTTTGAAAAAATGAATGCTGCATTAAGTGTTGCAGTATTGAATAATAATGTTGCTGCTGCAATATTATATCATATAAATCACGGCCGCATTGCTGATATACATAAGACTACTGCTTGGTTCTTAACAATAATACACAAGTGGTTCAAAATTATGACAAGTTATGAAAAACTTGCGTTATCTCATTCTAATGAATATACAATGATCATATAACGTTTCTAAAAGAGTTTATGGATATTGTGAGAGCAATAACAGTCGATGCTGGTAAATGGCAACCATTCCAGAGTGGTTTATTATTGTGTACACAAACTGCTCTGGATGTACAAGTAGAATATTTAGAGAAGTATAAGTTTAAATATACAGTCTGTAAAGTAAGAGCGTGCACGGCATAAATAGCAGTTGGCTTCAAGTATCGTTCTAGTTTTTTTGTGAGCCGATAGATGAAATCTTTGTCATGAATGCTTTGTCACAAAAGATTCAGTTGGCGTCGAACTCTAACCTGAGAAACACGTTAACCGCCATGAGTGCCGCATACGCATCGCGCTACGAGGCTGTGTTCCTCTGTTCCCACCCCAGAGGACCAAAAATGTCATATGCAGTGCCTGCTAACATGGGAAAGTCAAAATCGTTCGTCGCTAAGTGGGTTCAGCAATATAAGAAGATAAAAAATGTCGATGACTTGCCAGAACGTGGCTCGATAGGCAAAGTGACGCCGAATATGGAAAAAAAAAATTGTGAATTTATTTAAGCGGAACCCGACCTTAACATTGCGACAAGGAGCAGCAACATTAAAACGAAAGAGTATAGAAGTATCACATACAACTATTCGAACTCATCTCCTTGCGCTTAACCTCAAATATCGAAGCACAATGAAGAAACCACTGTAAGGCGAAAAACATGTGACGAAAAGACTCGCTTAGGTAAAGGAGAATTTGGACCGAGATTGAAGCAACGTGATCTTTACGGACAAAGTTTCTGTTTGGGGATATACTGCCATTCGACGTTAAGGTCAACTTTGACAAATAGATTAATACAACGGACTGTTAAACACCCTATAAAAGTTCATCTTTGGGGCTGCTTTTCGAAACAGGGTTTTGGAGCATTACATTAGTTTACATACAATTTAAATGCTCCGAAAATGCTTAAAATTTATGAGAAGTGGTTGTTACTGACTGCTGAACGATGCTTCATAAAAAAGAACGAGGACTGGATCTTACAGGAAAACAACGACCCAAAACACCGGAGCAAGCTTTGCACCGAGTGAAAAGAGCAGTCTGGCATCGTCACACTTGATTGGCCATTGCAGTCGCCAGATGTAAAAATTGAAAATGTGTGGGCATATCTCAAGCACAAGCTTCGAGGAAAAAGAGTGCACTTTGAAGCAGCTGACACGACAAATTCGTCTCATTTGGAGGTCTTTACCGAACGAATACGCAGTCAACTTAGTGAAAATTATGCCTCGGAGATGCCAAGCAATTATCAATGCCGTTGGTGACTGGACTTATTATTAATAGTATAGCATTTTTCTTCTCATGGAGTACAACAAATCCATGTACTTAAAAATCATTAAAAATAAATTTTTCTACACATTAACCCTCTTACTTTACAGACTGTATATTACTTGGACGACTTACACAAGACGCCTTGGAAAATTTATTTCCATTAATCCGAGGGAGACAACCTGTTCCAAATATACGTGATTTCAAACATGCATTATGATTAATTTCCTTATCCCAGTTCCAAGCAAATATTGATCATGGCAATTACTCGATGTGATTTTGATCATCTCATTAAATATTGTACTACATTAAAACAACTTCAATGCAAAAAGATTGCTGCAGAGGTACAATTTCTGGATAATATTGATGAAGACAGTAGGAACTGAAACAGATTTCAGCGATACTGTACAGACAGTTTTATACCATTTAACAGGTGCCTTATTATTTAAAATAAAAAATTTTACTTGTAAGAAATGTTTCACACCGCTTATAACAACTAGTAACACTGATGATAATAATAATAATAATTTACACTATTTTCCGAAATTAAGACAATTTAAAAAAAACAGTATTATTTCCAACTGCAGACATATTTGATGTTATACAGGCTGAAGAAAAACCCCGGGACCCCTGAAAATTTCGAAAAATATACATTTTATAAAAAAAATGTTTCAGACAGAAGTTGTAGCGTCGAAAAAGATCTATTTACCGATCTTAACAATTTGACCTTGAGTGGCGTCATCAAGGTCAGGACAAAAGGTCACCTCGGATTTTTTAAATGGATCCCCCAATTTTGTATTGCATATTCTTATAGCCCTTCTTCAGACCTTTTCAAAGCATTACGGTTGTATCCAATTTGAATAAGCTGTTCCGAAGTAATCTAGTTTTTTAAAGTAAGATATCTAGCCAACTAAGGCAAGGTCGGAGTGATCAAATCAACTAAGGCAAGATCGGAGGGTGATCCAGCCAACTCGTAAAAATAATTGTGCGACTAACTTCCATGCGTTGGCTCCTATTGGCCAATTTCTGTCTTAATTTCGTTGATTGATTTATTTCAGTTATTTATTTATTTTAACTATTCTGCTGTTCGATGTTTATTTCTTCTATTTACTCATTTAATACTCATTACAGTTTAGTGAATCGCAAACTCGACTGAAATTCCTCTATTTTTTTGAAAATTATTAAAAGTTTGAAAACAGTTTGAAGCTAGTTGTAAGCTGACTTAATTGCACTTCATTCCGTGCTCATTATTATTCTTCAGCACTGTCTTTAGAAAAACTTTGAATTGATCCAAATATTGGGTATGGGAATAAGTTTTAATCGTTTCCCCATAGATGGCATTAATAGTATCGCTTGCATCTTTTCTAACCTTTTGATACATTTAAAAGGTGTATATGTAAGCTGGTAAACGCGGTATAAGACTTTTGTTTGGAGTGCAAACAGCAAGTATTCATATCGCATCGAAAATGTCGGAATTTGTTCCAAAAAAGCAGCATTTGCGGGAAGTTCTTCTCCACTACTATCTTTTGAAGAAAAGTGCTGCGGAAACGTGCCGTTTGCTTGTGGATCTTTACGGCGACCATGCTCCATCGGAGCCAACTTGCAGATATTGGTTTTAACGCTTCAAAAGTGGTGATTTCGATGTCAACGACAAAGAACGCGATGGTGCCCCAAGAAAGTTCCAAAATGAGGAACTTGAGAAATTGCTTGATATTGATCCATGTCAGACACTTGAAGAATTGTCTGCAGTATTGGATGTTGATCGATCCACCGTTGGAAAACGCCTACATGCGCTGGGAATGGTTCAGAAGGCAGGAAATTGGGTACCACACGAGTTGAAGGAAAGGGACATTGAAAGGCGCTTGGTCACGTGCGAAATGTTGCTTCAACATTAATACGACAAGAAAGAAAGAGTTCTTTTGCATCGGATCATCACTGGCGATGAAAAATGGATTCACTACGACAATCATAAACGCAAATTAGCATGGGTGAGGCCAGGTGAACCAGGTCTATCAACGCCAAAGCGCAATATTCACGGGTCAAAGGTCATGCTCTGTATCTGGTGGGATATGCGGGGTGTAGTCTACTATGAGCTGCTGAAACCGTCTGAAACTATCAATTCCCAACGTTACCGACTTCAACTAATGCGTTTGAAACAAGCTATTCAAGATAAACGGCCGGAATGGCGCGATAGACACGAGAAGCTGATTTTGCAGCACGACAATGCTAGGCCATATGTTGGTCAACCCGTCCGGACATACCTAGAAGGGGTGAAATGGGAGGTCCTACCTCACCCGCCGTATTCACCAGACATTGCCCCTTCAGACTATCATTTGTTGCGGTCGATGCAGTCGGCACTTACTGGAGAGCGCTTCACCTCATATGACAACATACAAAAATGGGTCAATGACTGGATTGCCTCGAAAGAAATAGAATTCTTCACTCGAGGAATTCGTTTATTGCCCGAAAGATGGGCGAAGGTTGTCGATTCAGATAGAAAATATTTTTAGTAAAATCATTTACTATTTTCATATTCAAACTATGTTTTTTGTCTACGTAAAAAACGATTGAAACTTATTCCCATACTCAATATTAATTTAGTCGATTAGACTAAATCTTACCACTTCTGCTTGTCAATATGGCAAGTCTTTCAGAACGAGAACGCATATCTCTTTTGATGATGAGAGGATGGGGTGATCGACTAAGGTACAATGATGTGAGGCTGCTTTTTAATGAAACTTTTCGTAATCAGGGTAATACCATTTCAAAATCTACCGTTGAAAGAACGATAAGGCGTTTCCAGGAAACTGGAAGTGTGAAAAATCGTGTAATACCAGGTAGGCCAGTATCAGCAACAAGTGTAGAAAAATCATTAGATGTTCTACAATCCTTTATCGAAAATCCGCATGATTCGACTCGCAAAGTAGGACAGCAACATGAAATAGATCAAATGTCTGTGCTTAAAATATTGAAAATGAATAAATTTCATCCTTATAAGATCCATCTTGTACAAGAGCTAAATGAAGATGATTTTGATAGGCGCATAGAATTTTGTGATTTGATGATGGAAAAAATAGCCGAAGATCCTAACTATCTATCAAATGTAGTATTTTCAGATGAGGCAACATTTCAGTTAAATAGCCACGTTAATCGACACAATTGTAGATTTTGGTCAGAAATCCTCACTGGATTGAAGAAACACACACACAGTATCCACAAAAAGTGAATGTTTGAGTAGGCATTTTGAATAATATTCTCATAGGTCCACTCTTTATTGATAATATTGAAATCTAACAGCGATAAAATATGAGAATATACTAAGAAACGAAATAGTTCCAGCGAAGCAATCATGGATGACAACTTCGAGCATACATGGTTCCAACAAGATGGTGCCCTCCCACATTACAGAAGGGACGTCCGTGATTATCTGGACACAGTGTTTCCCCATCGATGGATAGGTAGAAGAGGACCTATAGAATGGCCTCCTCGATCACCCTATTTATCACCTAACGATTACTTCCTGTGGAGCCATTTAAAAGATAGAGTTTGTGACGGTAACGCCCGCGGGGTTCGGTGCGATCGGTCGCCCACCATCGCGCCTGGCTCGTCGCTTCCGCGACGCTTCGCTCGCCGCCGCGCCGGTACGTTACTCGGGTGAAGGGGGTCGAAGGTAGATTCTCGCAGAAAATGTGCGTCCGGCGTTTGGTGTGTTAACAAGTGTGGTGCGTGAGGCACCCCGTTTATTTAAAAAAAAAAACAACGATATTTCTCTATTTATATATGTACTACATGGGCTGAAAAGTCTTTGGCCTGACATATAGATGGCGCCACAAACTAAAAATCTGTGGGGACTTTGAGCTCCCCAAAGCGCACGCATCCGTTTTTCCGTGCGGCGCTATAGAGCGCGCGCAAGTGTCACTCGTGCGGGGAAAAAAGAGCAACGAATCAGTAACCGTTGGAAGCGCTCACAGAGTTAA